AGAAATTAATGCTAGCCTTAGTAATGGCTTCAAAGAAGTTGAACCATTACTTTCAGGCATGTAAGGCAAGGCCATCTGAGGGACCTTGTTGATGAGGCCAGGACAAGAGAAGAACAGACAAGATTGCCTTAAGCACCAGCAGCACCGCCTCCTCCAGCACAGCAACCACAGGCAGGAGGACCACGGGTGGTTAATATAATCCACTCAAAGGTGAACGAAAGCGACATTCGGGGAGAAACCCAAAAAGTAAAACACCTGCAGCACATGAACCAGGTCGGATACAAAAGACCTCGGCCTGAAGAATGCCAAGGACCGATGATAACTTTCACTGAAGCCGACCTGGAGTTGGTCCAACATCCGCATAATGATGCCTTGGTAGTATCCCTCCAGGTTGGGGAATGCCAAGTGAAACGCATCCTGATAGATTAAGGCATCTCTTGTGACATCATGTACGTCAGATGTTATAAGGAGCTGGGCCTTCACCCTGACGACCTGGAACAATCCAGCAGCCCTATGGTCGGCTTCAATGGAACGCCGACATGGCCACTAGGCGTAGCAAGCGTGGAAGTACAAGCTGGTACTAAAAAGATCAAGACAGAATTTATGGTGATTGACACACCCTCACCATATAACATCATCTTAGGAAGACCATGGTTGTATGCAATGGGGGCAGTTCCCTCAACACTGCATCAACTACTACGGTTCCCAACAGAGCATGGGATCGAAGAAGTCAGAGGAGATCAACTGCAGGCAAAAACTTGCTCCAGAGCAGCAATGAAGACTACTTGCAGCATTCGAAAGCTAAAAGAGACAGAGATTGAAGACGAGGACATGGAGGTCCTAGAAGATGTCGGCAAGGAGCCAACCGAAAAGAGTGAAGAGACACTAAAGAAAATCCTTGTCCAAGAGGGCAACGAAGAACGCTTCTTTCTTCTCGGCTCAGGCTTAGTCGAAGAAGAGGAAAGAGAACTGGAAGATTTTTTGAGAACCAACATCGAGGTGTTCGCCTGGACACTTTACGAGATGCCTGGCATTGACCCCAAGGTCACTTGCCACAGACTGAATGTCGACAGGTCGGCAAAACCTGTGATTCAACGAGCCAGAAGACCGACGTTGATGCACGTCGAAGCAGTAGAAGAAGAAGTAGATAGACTTCTGGAAGCCAGGGCCATCCGAGAAGTTCACTACCCAACTTGGCTATCCAACACAGTAGTGGTGAAGAAGAAGAACGGCAAATGGAGGGTTTGTGTAGACTTTACCAGCCTCAACAAAGCCTGCCCCAAAGACAGCTTTCCTCTGCCCAAGATTGACCAGCTCGTAGACGCTACTTCCGGGCATGAAAGGATGACTTTTCTGGATGCATACAGGGGGTACCACCAAATTGCCATGTACCCTCCAGACGAGGAGAAAACCGCGTTCATCACCCCTAAAGGCCTGTACTGTTACAAGATAATGCCTTTTGGGTTGAAAAAACGCAGGAGCAACTTACCAAAGGTTAGTAACAAAAATGTTTAAGCACCTAATTGGCAAAAAGGTAGAAGTCTACATCGATGACATGGTCGTGAAGACCAAGAAATCTAAGGGTCATCTTGCCGACCTAAAAGAGGTCTTTGATATACTCAAAACTTACCAGCTCCGAATCAACGCATCAAAGTGCGCGCTTGGAGTTGGATCAGGTAAGTTTTTAGGGTATCTGGTAACGAGAAAGGGCATTGAGGCCAGCCCAGACCAAATCAAGGCCATCCTAGAGCTACAGAGCTCAACGTCGGCAAAACAGGTTCAGATGCTTACTGGAAGGGCCGCAGCCCTAAACAGATTCATCAGCAGAAGCTCAGATAAATGCAGACCCTTCTTCAACCTGGTGAAAAAAGCCACAGACTTTCTGTGGACAGAAGAATGCGAAGCCGCTTTAGCCGACCTAAAGAAGTACTTGACCACAACTCCGGTTCTTTCCAACCCAGAACCAGGGGAAGAACTGTTTTTGTACTTGGCAGTTTCAGAACACGCAGTAAGTGCAGTACTAATCCGAGAAGAAAAAGGGGAGCAAAAGGCTTTTTATTATGTTAGCAAAACCTTGGCCAATATAGAAACAAGGTATTTACCACTGGAGAAATTAATGCTAGCCTTAGTAATGGCTTCAAAGAAGTTGAACCATTACTTTCAGGCGCACAAGATTGTGGTCCTAACAGAGCACCCACTGAAGTCCTTATTGCAACAAGGAGACTTAACAGGAAGGATAACAAGATGGGCAGTAGCCCTGGGCCAGTATGACCTAGAGTTCAGGCCAAGAACAGCAATTAAAGGCCAAGTTTTGGCCGACTTCGTGGCAGAATTCACACCCGAAACCATCGAACATCGGGCTCCGTTGAGCCAGGATGAGCATTGTCCCAGCAAGCAAAAAGAATCCCAGCCTAGGGCAAAAGAGCAAAGGAAGGAAAAACTCAGACCCTGCAGCATCTACATCGGTGATTCATTCAGACTGTTCGTCGAAGGAAGTTCAAACCGACAAGGAACGGGGGCAGGGGTACTGCTGATATCTCC